GTAGCCTTCATTCAGGAGTCACAGGTCTGAATTAAAATATGTACGTTCTTTGAAATAGTACTAAAATGTCCAACCTCTTCTTTTTTTCTGAAAATAGCATGTTTAGGTAATCAAAGGAATAGGTGATTATATAAAGCTTAATAATAACTAAAAATAGAGAACTTTCAATTTAGATCAGAAATTTTTACCCTAAGTCACAATTGATAGAACACTTTGGGTTTACTGTACTCTTGCTTCACATGCTTTCTGTTGAAACTTTCTTAAGAAAAAGCAGCAATTCTTTTTTTTTTTATTTAACTTTTTGAATATTTTATATGTTCTACATATTAATCAGTCAGATTAATAGTTAGCAGACAAAGTGCTCCCATTTCCTGGGCTGTTTTTTTTCACATCGTTATTCCCTTTGCTGTCTAAAGGCTTCTTCAGTTTCTGTAATCTCATTTGTTATTCTGTTTGTGCATGTATGTATGTGGGTATACATGTGGGTATGGGTGTGGAAACAGGAAAATTGTGTGTGTGTGTATGTGTGTGTGTAAAGTAGAGGTCAACATCAAGTGTTGTTCCTCAGCCTGTCTACCTTGTTTGTGGAGATAGCATTCTCATTGGACTGGAATTTACCAATTAGAATAGGCTACCTAATTAGACAAGGAAGGAGATCACTTTCTCCCCAGCACTGGGGTTACAAATATGTTACCATGCCCATTTTTTTTAAACAGGGGCTCTAGGTGTTGAACTCAGGTCATCATGCTTGTGTGACAAGCTCTTGACTAAACCATCTCTTTATCACATGTCCTCAAAATTTGTCAATTCTTGGATTATTTCTTGGACTATTAAAAATTTTTATCAGAAAGTCTTTGCCTATTCCTATGTCTTAAACTATTTCCATATATTTTCTTCTAGTAGTTGCAGAGTTTCAGGTCTTAGATTAAGGTCTTCAATTAATTTTTAATTGTTTTTTGACAGGATAAGAGATAGGGTGTTAATTTTCTTCTGTGTGTGGCTATTCAGATTTCTGAGCACCATTTGTTGAAGTGGATTACTAAACAATCCAGTCACTCAGTGGGCAAATGAAATAAACAGACGGTTTTGAAAAGATGGAGTACAAATAGCTAGTAAACATTTAAAAAGCGATAACATTCTTAGCCATCAGGAATAAATCAAATCAAAACATTGGGGTTTTTTTTAAACCCCAGTTAGAATCACTATCACTAAGAAAACGACATGCCAATGAAGATGGGGATGGTGGTAACTGGCCACAGTGGAAATCAAAATATAGTTTCCTTAAAATACTAAAAGTAAAACTGCCATATAATAATTATGCCACTACTAGGAATGTACTCAAGAGTTATCTAAGAGAGTCGATGAGGGAGACACCTGCATGTCCTTGTTTATTGCAGCACTGTTCACGACAGCCAGGTTGGAATTAGCTGAGATGTCCATCAACAGATGAATAGATAATGTATGTGATACACCTGTGTGTGCTCATAGAGATGGAGTTTTATTTAGCTCTAAAGAAGAACAAAATATTGTGTGAAGGAAAGTGGGTGGAGCTTAAGTTTATTAAATGAAATGTCAGACTCAGAATGAAGATTATTGCATGTTTTCTCATATAGAAGGATATTAGACTTGACAGATGTATATGTATCATTTATATGTGTATGGCATAAAAGTTGAAAGAGATCTTAGAAATTTTTACAAGTGAATATGATCAAAGTGCATGATATATTTGAATGTAACTATACTTAAGAAACTCATGTTTTTTTTCTTAGTACAGTTAAGTATATCCATTAGACAAACAACAAAAATTTCTACCCAAACCAGGACCATGACTACTTTGGTGTGGACTGACTGTTCAACTCCAGATGTGCTTTGTAAGATTATAACTTAGAATTAGATGAAAGGAATATGAGAAAGGATTATGCATCTCTGGATGCTAATACTTATTTTGTGTCAATGATTGTTTTTTACATGAGAGGAACAGTGTAAACCATTTTAAAAGATTTTTGTGCTTCCAGAATTTACAGAACTCTTTTACCTACTACAGTGAGGATTATGTAGAATAATCTATGTTAAGCTTTAACATGGTTATCTAGAAATGAAGATGTTAATATTAGCTACTTTAAAAAAAGATTTTATTTTATGTGTACAGGTATTTTTGCTTATATATGTGTGGGGAGGGGGCACTGTGAGTGTGAAGTACCTGCACAGGCCAGAAGTGGGCATAGGATCCTCTGGAACCAAAGTTAAAGAAAATTTTTAGCCTCCATGGTTGTTAGCCACCATCTTGGTTCTGAGAACTGAACCAAGGTCCTCTACAAGAGCAACACTCGGCTATTTATTATACTGCCCTATTACAACTGCCTTTGTAATAGAATATAATATTTTACTACCATTAAGATTAAAATATAATGATATCAATGTCACTATTATTAGTACCAACAGTTTATTATATAATTTTACAGTTATGAACAGTAAGTCTTGTCTGGCAGGAAATGGCTTAGAGATCATAGATTACCTCAGAGCCTGAAACGGCTCTGAAATTCTGTAATTACTGTAAGGTCAGAATTGTGGTTCAGTCAAGTATTGTCTTCTTTGTAATTTTACAAATAAATGGTACTTTCAGATTTGCAAACCAAAGTGTGGAAGTCTGAGTTTCTATTATAAGAATGTCTCCTTTGGCTATTTAAATTTGCCATTATCATGGTTAGTTTTTATGACTTCATTGGAATTTATTGGAATGGTGTGGAAAATATTTGGCAGTATCTAATAGTTACTTGTTGTCAAGGATAAGAGATTTTTAAAGTATTACATACTAAAATGTAGCAAGATACATGAGTGGTCAGTGTGGCCAACATGGCAGATTTTAATTGAGTAATTTCTTTTTATCAATAGTCTTAGATTTTTAGACTTGTATTGCTTAGATACATAAAAGGTTCCTTTTCTCTTCCTTGATAGTGGAGGCAGTTTGGATAGAAAGAGGAACCTCCTAAAGTATAGTGGCCAAAGAACATTCTATTTTATACAATAATAAAAGTATTGAGGACTGTGTTTCCAAACTATCTGTAGAATAATATTCTACATGTTGTTAGTAAGTATACTTGTAAAGTAACTGTCCAGTAATCATGTAAGTAGGGAAAAGTTGAGCAGGTTTTTTTTTAAGTGTATATGTATTTGAGTTTTTAGAATGCTAAATTATATTGTATGTGGAGTAGGAAGATGGAATGAATGATTTCTCCCAAACTTATTTGGCCATGGAACCCTTTTATTAAACATTCTTACTAATATTTAGACGCAAAGCTATAAGCAGCACTTTTTCTAAAATTCTAGTCCAGATTGTAGACAAAATAATGGGAGTTGGACCTTGGGTCTCACTGATACCAAAGGAAAGAACCGCTACTACTTTATTTTGTCCAGTTATTTTTCTGTTTATAATTTTTAAACATTTATGAAATATTCAGCATTGAAGAAATTGGATTAAAATTTATTTAGCTTTTCTTCTCTAGCATATTCAGTTCCATGGCTAAATTTTTTTCTGTAACTGTACTTTTGGCTTATAAATGTTGGGATCTTTTGTTGCTGGTTTTTGTGGCAACAGTGCTACTTAAAAGAAATATAAAAGTATTAAGTTATGCAAAACCTCAAAATTTTTACAAAAGTGGTCACAGAGGAAAAATTTTGTAATAGATTATTAAAGATAATATTATTTGGAGGGCTAAATTATTTTCAGGTTATCCCATCTAGGATTGAACATAGGAAATTTTGATAATTTTTGACAAACATTATTAAATGCATTGTTTCTTATCCTTTTTCTTGTCAGTTGAATAAGATATTCTTTCAGTTGATGGATGGCCCCCTTTAATAGTGAACCCCTCAAGCTGCTTGGCTTCTCTCTATCCAGTTGTTATTCAGTTGTCACTAGTTTGGTTTTAGACAGTTGACACGTTTAAGAGGGAGTAATTTTAAAGATGCTCAGAAGCATTTGAACTGTATAAATAAACTGCAATGATGGCTTCTTCATCAGACTATGAGATTCTCAAGTGCATGCAATGCAAAAAGCATTCTAATGCCACATGTATTTATTGTGGTAATCATTACTCATTGTCTGTCTCCTAGTTTTTGCTTTTGCTAATTTTCATTATACTAGGTTTTTCTCAAATGTTAAAGTGTAGTTTTTTAATGTTTGTATTTTTTTAAACAAATTTCTTACTTTATGGCAATACTTAAGGTTAAATGTTTAGTGTTATACTATAGTTAGTACCAATTAATGCTTAAATAATTAAAAATTATATTTTAGTTTAAATGACTTTGATAGTAGCTTAGTTTTTTTAAACTGCATTACTTCATTTTTAAATCAATACATTTGATTTATATTTGTTTTTAATTCTTTTTGTTAGATTTTATATTACCTATATTTTAAAAATGCAGTTGACTAATCCTTTTCCCTAAAGAGAATCTGTCATTTTCTTCCCTTTGTAAAATTGACCCTCTAGCTAGATATTTGTTATGTAAGCCATCTATACTACAAATGGTTCTGAGAGTTCTCTTTATCTTCTGTCCGTTTTCAGTAGAATATCTATTTCGTACTTAGTTTGTTCTCTATAAAATCTCAGTATGTAAGCTGGGAAGTGACTATGCACAGCTTAATCCCAGTACTTGGGAGGCAGAGGCAGGCAAATCCAGCCTGGTCAGAGTCAGTTCCAGATGGCCAGGGTTACACAGAGAAACCCTGACTCGAAAACTAAAACCATGTCAAAACAAAATAAAACGAAAAGCTCAGTATGTAAATCTTCATGAGTTCATTAGAATTTGCTGTGTTTTAATGCTGATGTGAAAGTATCAGTGATTTATTTTAATGTAGATGACTCATATCTCAGATTAATCAGGTCTAATTAACATTTAAACATTTTTATGAATGCTAAGAAAGTATTTTAGTTACTTGAAATTAGGTAGTAGCAACATTCCCATTTCTTACACTTTGATTTGTCTGGTTGGTTTTAAAGACACCTAGTTGCTGGGCAGAAGAGGGAGCAGAAAAACGGTCACATCAGCGCTCTGCATCATGGGGAAGTGCTGATCAACTGAAAGAGGTAAGTTATTTTTTTATTTCATTCTAAAACTTGTGTAGATCTCCATGGGTTGTTTTTTACTATTTTCCAATGTTGTGAGACTTCCATTTATTGTAACCTTTTTCATACACAGAGTTGACTCTTACATTTTGGTAAAGAGTGAATGTTTCTTGTTTGTAATTTTCATATACTCAGTAAATATTTAGGTACCCCCATCAACTGTAGTACTTCTAGAATGAACTCTGATTTTGTATAATAATCTTTATATCATCTGTTTAAGTTATCTTTATTTCTTCCTTAGCTTGCTTTTTTTTTTAAGTTACAGCAAGTAGAACCATAGATCATAGCTTTATACAATGATCAGACAGTACTTTTGTTTTCTGATAGCTTTTTATGATATGTAGCTTATTATGACCCTCTGGGGCCCAGTAGTACAGTGGAAGCCAAATCTACTCCGTGATTTATTATGGATAACACATATGTATATTTATACTATATTATTTTTCCTGTTTTATCTATATAAATCATTTTAATTCTTACCCATTTGTCCTTTCAAAGCTATAGAAACCTAGAGTTAAAAGATCATCTAGTCCAGAGATCTCTTAGGTGAGCACCTCTTCCAAAAGGGACCATCTCATCTTTGTTACATCTTCTCTGTAGTAAGAACTCATCTTTTAAGAGAACTGTGTACTAGTTTTAGCTGAGGTCACTAAGTATGTTTTTATCTCCTTTCTAGTGCTATGATAAAATACCATAACCAGAAGCAACTTAGGAAAGAAAGGATTTATTTCAGTTTATAGGTTATAGATTTCAAATTATAGATTAGGGGGTGGGGGGAGAACCAAAGCAGGGACTAAAGCAGAGACCATGGAGAAGTGCTGCTAACTTGCTTAGTTACCTCTCTCACACATCCCAGGACCACCTTTCCAGGAGTGCCACTGCTCATAGTGTTACACATTCCCATATATTCACTAATCTAGAAAATGCCCTGTAAGGTTGCCTACAGGTCCATCTGATACAGGCATCTTTCTCAGTTGACGTTCCTCTTCCCAGGTAATTGTAGCTTGTGTTAAGCTGACAAAGTGCTAACCTGCATAGTTTTTATATTTTGAACTCAGAATGAAATCACTTAGTTTTGACTCCTAACACTTGTATCAGTGTTGTCTCCTTGAAACTTCTGCAAGTTTGGCAGTAAACTAGTTTTGCTGTATTTTAAGCATAGACATTCTTTCAGATTTTATTTATGTGTATGTGTGTATGCCTGCTTGTCTGTACGTGAACCACATGCTTGTGGTGTTTATGATGGCCAGAAAAGGGCCATGGTTCTCCTGGAACTGGAGTTACTATGAATTAAACCTGGGTCTTCCAAATAGCAGCCAGTACTGATAACTGCTGAGCCATCTCTTCCATCTCAGCATTTCTCTTAAATGGTTTTCCTATGCAGTATCAGACCTTCCAGTATTCATTTTCTATATACTTTAAGTTGTCAGTTTTCATGTACTGTAATGTCTAAACAAAGCAGTCTAATAGCGTGATATTGTTTGTGATTTCATTTTTAGCCACTTTTTTATGTTGTGAATGTAGAAAATTTGTAATCTTGGCCTATCTCTTACCCAAATACATAGTGAATATACATTTCTTTATCAGGAACAGAATAAAAAGAAGCTTAGTTTAATAGATCTAGGCTGAAATGGAGATCACCTGTAGCATGCAATATATATATATATATATATATATATATATATATATGTGTGTGTGTGTGTGTGTGTGTGTGTGTGTGTGTGTGTGTGTGTGTATAATGGGGCAATCAAATTTTCCATTTTATCTCAGTTCAGTATAGTTTCAGACATACTGCTGATATCTCACATGGCTGTGTTATAACTGAACATCTGTAGTAATAAATGATATATGCTACTAAGAGGGAACATTGAAATTAGAGGAATTGATTACTCTCTCTGGAAAACCACAAAGCCAAACAAAATTGTCAAATATTTCAATGGTATGGATGTAATGAAAATAACTGAGCAATTTTATTTATGAAAACTTGGGATTAGAGTAGTATAAATAGTGGTATTCTTGCTTGAAGTGAAAGAATAATTGCAAAAGAGATTCAAGATGCCGGTGAAAATAAAACCCAGGTAAGATTGTAAAAGACTAACTTAAAAGGCAGTCCTATGTACACACACACACACACACACACACACACACACACACACACACACACAGAGAGAGAGAGAGAGAGACAGAGACAGAGACAGAGAGAAGACAGAGACACAGAGAGACATGTGCATGTATGGAGGGGGCAAGGAAGGGGGAAAAGGAGAGAGAAAGTGATCATTAATTGCTTTGTCAAGGTTTTTTTTTGTTCTTTTAGTTTTATAGCTCATACTATCTCTGACATTAAGGATATTGCTTAGTGAAGTGGCTGAGATCCTGACTGGTACATATTTGTAGTTAAGTGTTAATACTGGATTACTTGCACAGCATTGTGAAGTACTAAAAAGAGGTTAGAAATGGAAGGTCAAAGACTAGATTTACCATTTATTAGGTTTCTCACATAAGAAAGGTACTTTATTTTTAAGTGTTTTGCCATCTGTAAAATGGATATAATTAAGAGATCAAGTGGATTTGTGAATGTTTTTGAAAAGTTAGTCTGTGATCTTGTTACTTTTCTTTGTTGTAGTAAGCCAGAAGCAACTGAAAGGAAGAAACATTTGATTTAATCTTGCAGGGTACAGTTCACTGTGAGGGGGGTCAGGACAGGGATACAGGTATGAACCACAGCAGAGCTCTGCTTTTGCCTCTTGCTTGTTCCATGACTCTCCATAAGTTAGCATTTTATACAACGTCAGTTCACCTGCCTAGGAATGTTCCTGCCCACAGTAGACTGGGCCTTCCCATGTCTGTCACCAGTCACTACAGTTCCTCATAGCCATAGCCCAGAACCAACCATCTGATTTGGGTTATTCTTCAATTGAGGTTTCTTTATTCCAAGAGACTCTTAAGTTTTGCCAAGCTGGCAATAAAAACTAATCAGCACAGTCTGCTACATTTGTTAATACTTTATTGATAGTTATAAATACACTTCTGTGTTAAAACTTTTTGTTTATGAAAGTTCTCTTTTTTTTTTATTGGATGTTTTATTTACATTTCATATGTTGTCCCCTTACCCTATCCCCTCACACCTCCTCCTGCTTCTCTGCGGATGTACCCCACCTACCCCCCACTCCCACCTCCCCACCCTCAAATTCCCACCCCCTGGGGCATCCAGCCTTCATGAGGCCAAGGATCTCTTCTCCCACCTATGCTCAGCAGGGCCCTCTGCTCTTACATATACAGCTGAAGCCATGGATCCCTCCCTAAGTGCTCCCAGGCTGGTGGTTTAGACCCTGGGAGCTGTGGTTGGTAGGAAAGTTCTCTTAAAGCAGCTGTGTTTTAAGATTTTTTTATGTGAGCTGTCTCTGTTTATTCCTGGGTCATTTATGTGAGACTGTATATGGACAGATATACGGATGTATAGGAATCAGTTTGCTTTTAGCTAGACTGTAGAATGTTTCTAAGAATATACTTGATCTTTTAAATTTAAAAGCATTGAAGCTTGTTAATTCCATGTTTAATATCAAAATTACTAACAGCCTGAGACTTATGACCAATTTTATTTTTAAAAAAATTAGATTGTCTTTTGTGATTATTTAGAAAAAGCAAGTGATATAATGCAACTCTTGCTAAATATTTTATTCTAGTTTATTTACTTTTAAAAGATTTATCTTCTTTTTACTTTTTATCTTGATTCTTCAGCCAGTATAGTGTGGTGATTGTCTTAGCTTTCTACTACTATACCACAAATGTAAGACAATCAGTTTAAAAGGAAAAAAGTTTATATTGGCACATGGTTTCAAATTTTTTAGTCTGTAATCAGTGGGATCTTTTTCTTTGGACTGTGGTGATGCAACTCATCATACTGAAGCATGGAATAGAGGAGACCTTGTTAATTCATGGTGGCTGGGAAGTAAAGAAAAAGACAGGAAGGATTTGGGTACCTGTATAATCCCAGCACACACACAGCTAACCTTTTTCCATGAGGCTCACCTGTTAACGTTTCCAAAACCTTCATGTAGCACCACAGGCTGAGAACCAGCCTAGTAACACATATACCTTTTGGAGGACATTCTAGAACATAACTATAGTATATTAAGAGAGCAGACTCCAGAATTCCATTTGAGTCATATTTGAGTTGCAACATTTAATGCAAATGTATTAAGGTTTAAAAGTCTATGTTCATTCCTCTTAAATGGGGGAGGGGTAATAATAGTACTTATATTCTTTTGTTGAAAAACACAACAGTTAATGTCTTAAGTGCAACAATAACTTCTATAGTGCTTTACTGCTCAACAAGCAGTTATTAAGCTTTAATAATAATTTTTATTAGTGGTTGACATAGTCATAAACAAACTAGCCTTCAAGTCATTTGAACAATGGTTAGAAAGTATATGCTACCAGTCAGAATATGCATCGTTAGAACATTTCAGCATAGCTAATTGTAATATGTTTAAAATTTCATCACCTACATTTGACAAGTGATAAATTCACAGTATAAGGATGTCTGTTTGCACAAAGAAAGGTCTAGTGTGTCACTTGTAAAAATATCAGTAAACAGAAATAGGGTATTGGAGCTGTATACTTCTGAGGTCTTTTTTTCTGCTAGCTCATTTCTGGAAACTACAGCTCCAGCTCTCCTAATGTAAAATCAAAAGTACTCTTTATTTAACAGTTTCCCTTTAGGTTTGTTAGAACATAACTTTAACTTGAACTGCCGTTTTCCCCTTCTAAAAAACAGAACTATGGGATAGGAACTTTTATGTTTTTCTTTCTAGGGTTTTTGAAATCCACATAGAAGGAAAAGGTTTCTAGTTCATTTTAATGTGTAAGAGACCACAATAGATTAATTAAAATTAATAAATTTTAAAGATTTATCTATAAAATGAATAATTACAAATTGCGTTAGTTTGTAGGCATGCCAAACTTATATAAGTACTTTAAGTTTTCAAATGCCACTAAAACATCATTAATATTCAGAAAAAACACCCAATTTTATACTTATATCCTAATAAAATAACTTGTACAATTTGAGATCCTATTTACCTTCTGTCATAGAGAATAATTTGTTGTGATTTAATAATAATTACCTTCTAATTTTGATTTTTCTCATGAAAATTAATGACTCCAGAATAAAATTAAGTCATTTAAAACTAGAGCAAGTAACAGAGATATTATTGTAATCTTACTTGTTTATATCTTCTTGCAAAGATATTGTATGAGAGATCCATAAGTCACAAATGTGATAAAAACATGTAAAATCTTGATAGTAAGGACTTATCCCTCTTTTCAGTGGTTTTACTATTTCCCCATTATTTACCACTGGTAAAAATTTAATTTCCTCAACAAGTCGTATCTTTTTACCTGGAACATTTATAGGTTTTAATACTAATTGTCTTATTGTGCTTTCTGATGTCTCAGTTACTTATGGTGCATATTTATGTAGTTTCATAGTACATTGTGTTTTGCTATATATACTCTTGAGAAAATTCATACATTTTTAACACTTTGTGCCTATATTTTATGTAGTAGACAACATATAACAGCTTATCTAGTTGTTCAAAGAATGATTGATTAATGCTGCCATCTTCTTTGTGACAAAAAGTAATATTAATATTAAAGATTTCCCCAAAATTGTTAAAAATTCTTTTGTTAATCTGTTCTTCATTAGGGACTGAGTAATATATAAAATAAAAAAGTTGATTCATTCTGAAAGTGAGGAGGTCATAAATCTTAAAAAGAGTAGACAGCCCCATCTTGTTTGGCCTTTGGTGAGTCATATGATGGAAGATCAAATAACAGGCAAGAGAGTGTGCAGGAAGGAGAAATCACATAAGGAAACAGGAGTCGTCATGATAATTAGGGTCCCATAAGAGTCTCATTATTTTCTAAGGGTAGGCCAGAACCCCTAATGATACAGCCATATTCCATGGCCCCCACCTTTTAAAAAATGTTTTAAATCAACTCCTCCTAAGCTCTGCTTCATGGAGGCTTTCTACTATTACTTTTTTTAAAAAAAGACATTTAAATTTTGTGTGCACACATATTTTGTGTGCATGCTTTAAATGTGTACCATGTGTGCCTATTGCTCATGGAGCCAGAATAGGGTGTCAGATTCCCTAGAACTGATATTACAGATTGTTGTGAGCCACTATTTGGGAGTGGGACCAGAACTCTGGTACTCTGTAAGAACAGCAAGTGTTCTTAACTGCTGAGCCATCTCTCCAGACCCTATATCTACAGATACTTAGCAGTCCCATGCTAGGACCAAATTTACAACACATCAGTTATTTAGGGATACACGTGACAGTGTTTTTACCCACACCTTTGAGCAATAGTCATATCCTTTTAAAATGCTTCACAGGTTTTAACATACATTATATATCACCTAAAGTATGTAAGCAGCTTAGTTGTTTCTAGATGTTACTATAGTAAAGATTTTGCAGTTAAATTTGGAATGTGATCTCCTTAGGAGAGTAGATCCAAATGTACATTTATGTTTAAATGAGTGAAAGATAATACATTATAAGATTAAATATGTAAAACTGTCCTCATGAAATACAATATTATGCACAGTGACTAATATGATACTAAATATTTGATTGCCTTTGCTTTGTATAGTTTTGAACATTTAGTTAATAGAGAAGCTAGATCTCTTTTGTTTATCAAAGTGAAATATGAAAATTAATACAGCCTTTATTTAAGATATAGAAAAGTGAGTCTTTAATCTCACTACTCAGAAGGAAGAGACAGGCAGATCTCTGTGAGTTTGAGACTATGTGTAGTAAAATCCTGTCTAAAAAGAAAACCAGAGGGGAAAGTAGATGCCAGTTTTGACAAATTAATCAGTAGACATCTGAAATATTTCATACCTAACACAGCTTCCTTTCTAAAGGAAGAGACTTGTAGCATTATAAAGGTAAAATCTGAAAGAGCCCAAGAAAATGTAGTATACTGCTTACCAGCACACCATATAAAGTTGCAGAAAGGAAGCATTTGTTCCTTTTTTTTCTTCTTCAGTTGTCTCAGAAGAATAAATCATTGTGGTAAAACATTATATTTTATTAAAATTTTTGAGAAAAAAACCTGAACAAAAAATAAAGCACTGGTTATTCACTTTTGTTTTCTCTATTCTCTTCCCAAAGCAGATTGCTAAACTTAGGCAACAGCTACAACGCAGCAAGCAAAGTAGTCGGCATAGTAAAGAAAAAGATCGACAGTCACCTCTCCATGGCAACCACATAACAATCAGTCATACTCAGGTAGGTTACGTTCTTTCAGATTTTAATAGTTCCTCTTAATGTATTACTAAGGGAAAAGCTTTACCTTTACCTTTAGATCAAACTATCAATATACACACAGCCATTGCACAGAAAGAAAATTTGAAAACTTACTGCTTTTATTATTTAAGTAGTTGTTTCTAAAGGTCATACAAATAAATACACCCATGACTAAGGGGAAAAGTTTAAAAAAAATTTTTTTCTATCAAATGCCAAAATTGTTATAACATTACGCTAAAATGAGGTTTGTATGGAGATTATTAGATACCTTAAATCAAATAGACAGTTTATGAAGAAATGTGAAGTCAGTATGTGGGTGTGATACTAAAACTGTCTCACACTACACATAGAAGCAAATCATGATAGATACAATATTTTATTATGAAAATGATAAAACTAAATACTGTTGATAACAAGAAAATGGAAAATATGTGATAGAGCTAGAGACTCAGTATGGTCATTCATTTGTTAATAAAATTTAAAGCACATTAACAAGTAGCAGTTCAAGCATGGGAAATATTAATATAGCCATACATTAATATATGTATTATACACATTAGACTGCCACATTACAAATTATATGTATAAATTCCAGTTGCTCATTACATGAGATTATTTTCCATTATTATCCTTTGCCTTCTTAGTCTTTGTTTTTTCTTATATCCTTATTGTATAATAACCCTGAGTTGCAAAATGTGCATTAGCATTTTTTGGTAACTTTAATAGTAGTTGTGAGAAGTGGCTAAGTTTTGAAAAACCCTGCAGAAGATTTTTGAAAACAACCTAAAGCTGCTAAGTGAGTGTTGAATTTAACATAGTATTGTTTTTATATTGCTTAATAATTCAGTTATCTTAAACAGTTGACAAAATGAAAACAAAAGTACTAACATGTAAATGTCACAGTACTACAGTTCAGTCACATGATAAATTACACAATTTTAATTATACTTTCCCAGTAAACAAAAAAATAGACATTAAAAAGTGCTGAAAATTTTATCTGTTGTTCTACTGATTGAGTGCATATATTATATAGTTATACCTTTGCATTTAAAGATTTTCAAGGATTGTTTGATTTCATGTTATTTCTAACTTCATTTATAATTTAAATTTTGTATATATATTTAATATTTTATTATATTTGAAGTATCAGAAATAACTGTTAAATGAGTCTATGTTTTAAGGAATTTTTGTTTGCATCTTGTTTTTATGGCCAGGGCATGCAGAAGAGCCTTGCATATGCTAAACACAGTCTGCCACTGAGCTGTATCCGTAGCTCTTCAGCTGTTAAAATGTGTCATGCTCCAGTTTGTTGTTCTTTGATAGTAAATAATTTGACTCCATTCTGTCTTCTACCTCAAAGGCTATTGGATCAAGGTCAGTCCCTATGCCTCTGTCAAACATATCTGTGCCAAAATCATCTGTTTCCCGTGTGCCCTGCAATGTAGAAGGAATAAGTCCAGAACTGGAAAAGGTATTCATCAAAGAAAACAATGGGAAGGAAGAAGTGTCCAAGGTAAGATTACATGAGATATTTAATTTTTTTCTTTAGTGTTATAGAGTTTCTCAAAAGCACTTTGTGGGCATGGAAACAGCTTTTTTTTTTTTTTTTTTTGATTCTTCAGCTGACAGCAAGAAGGTTTATTGTACACGAGTTACACTTGGCCACAAGAGAACAGAACTAGTCCAGAATGCCAGAGGTCCGGGGCACAGGGCCTCGGGACTGGTTTTAGTTGTAAGAAAGGCAGTCATTTTCCTAGGTGATCTCGGTGAGGTTGACATTCCAGGTCTACAGAGACTTAGTACCGACAGCAGCATACAGTCCCAACAGCTTGTCCCCGGTGTCCCGAGCCTTCGGCATCCCTCACTTCTGCTCCTGCAGGCTTCGTGGGTGCACAAGCTGGGTTCTACTTGGACCTCTGCCTCATCTTTCTTTTCTTGCGCTTCAGCCTGCGCATTCTCTTCTTCTGCCACTTCGCTCTCATGGCACAGGAGTCTCAAGGAATATGGCGCTAAGACCGAGAGAGATGGAAACAGCTTTATGGAAATAAAATTTACATACCATACGGGTCATTGTCTTTGTCATTCATCTCTCCTATCTTGCTAATATATTTTGCTATAGGCCACCATTGATCTATTCTCTGGGTCTACAGATATTTTTGTTCTAGACATTACAAGTAAATAGCACCATATAACGTATGACCTTTGGTAACTGGCTATTTTCACTTAGCATAGCATGTCTAAGATTAATCTATGTTGCAACATATATCAGTATGTTCTACTTTGGTCTATACTTCTATGAACATTTGTATAAAGTTTCATATATATATATATATATATATATATATATATATATATATATATATATATATATATATATATAGTGTGTGTGTGTGTGTGTGTGTGT